CTCGTGCAGCCCCCTCCCTGCCTCGTGCAGCCCCCTCCCTGCCTCGTGCAGCCCCCTCCCTGCCTCGTGCAGCCCCCTCCCTGCCTCGTGCAGCCCCCTCCCTGCCTCGTGCAGCCCCTCCCTGCCTCGTGCAGCCCCTCCCTGTCTCGTGCAGCCCCTCCCTGTCTCGTGCAGCCCCTCCCTGTCTCGTGCAGCCCCTCCCTGTCTCGTGCAGCCCCTCCCTGCCTCATGCAGCCCCCTCCCTGCCTCATGCAGCCCCCTCCCTGCCTCATGCAGCCCCCTCCCTGCCTCATGCAGCCCCCTCCCTGCCTCATGCAGCCCCCTCCCTGTCTCATGCAGCCCCCTCCCTGTCTCATGCAGCCCCTCCCTGTCTCGTGCAGCCCCTCCCTGTCTCGTGCAGCCCCTCCCTGTCTCGTGCAGCCCCTCCCTGTCTCGTGCAGCCCCTCCCTGTCTCGTGCAGCCCCCTCCCTGTCTCGTGCAGCCCCCTCCCTGCCTCGTGCATCCCCCTCCCTGCCTCGTGCATCCCCCTCCCTGCCTCGTGCAGCCCCCTCCCTGCCTCGTGCAGCCCCCTCCCTGCCTCGTGCAGCCCCCTCCCTGCCTCGTGCAGCCCCTCCCTGCCTCGTGCAGCCCCCTCCCTGCCTCGTGCAGCCCCTCTTTGCCTCGTGCAGCCCCTCTTTGCCTCATGCAGCCCCTCCCTGTCTCGTGCAGCCCCTCCCTGTCTCGTGCAGCCCCACCCTGTCTCGTGCAGCCCCTCCCTGTCTCGTGCAGCCCCTCCCTGTCTCGTGCAGCCCCTCCCTGTCTCATGCAGCCCCTCCCTGTCTCATGCAGCCCCTCTTTGCCTCATGCAGCCCCTCCCTGTCTCGTGCAGCCCCTCCCTGCCTCATGCAGCCCCTCCCTGCCTCGTGCAGCCCCTCTTTGCCTCGTGCAGCCCCCTCCCTGCCTCGGGCAGCCCCCTCCCTGCCTCGTGCATGCTCCCTCCCTGCCTCGGGCAGCCCCCTCCCTGCCTCGGGCAGCCCCCTCCCTGCCTCGGGCAGCCCCCTCCCTGCCTCGTGCATGCTCCCTCCCTGCCTCGTGCATGCTCCCTCCCTGTCTCGTGCATGCTCCCTCCCTGCCTCGTGCATGCTCCCTCCCTGCCTCGTGCATGCTCCCTCCCTGCCTCGTGCATGCTCCCTCCCTGCCTCGTGCATGCTCCCTCCCTGCCTCGTGCATGCTCCCTCCCTGTCTCGTGCATGCTCCCTCCCTGCCTCGTGCATGCTCCCTCCCTGTCTCGTGCATGCTCCCTCCCTGCCTCGTGCATGCTCCCCCCCTGCCTCGTGCATGCTCCCTCCCTGCCTCGTGCATGCTCCCTCCCTGTCTCGTGCATGCTCCCTCCCTGCCTCGTGCATGCTCCCTCCCTGTCTCGTGCATGCTCCCTCCCTGCCTCGTGCATGCTCCCTCCCTGCCTCGTGCATGCTCCCTCCCTGTCTCGTGCATGCTCCCTCCTGTCTTACACGTCTTCTCATTGCCTCTCATTTGCCATCGCTACCTTACACTTGCCATCACTGTAAAACATCTGGGAATTATGATGTCTGACGACATGACATTTAGTGAACATGACCGAGCAAATATAGCGGCGGCCAGGATGGATTATGAGAACGTTTAAATCCAGACCCCACAGCAATGCTAATGCTATTTATATCACAGATGCTGTTCAGTCTTGAGTATTGCTCGGTACTTACTTCCATCTTCAGAGCAGGAGAGATCTCTGAATTAGAGGGGAATACAGAGAACATATACAGCACGCGTAGATACGATAAAACATCTAAATTATTGGGACCGTCTCAAGGCTCTCAAAATGTACTCTCTGGAAAGGAGACGAGAAGGGTATCAAATAATATATACATGGAATATACTTGAAGGCCAGGTCCCAAATTTGCACAGAAGAATAACAACATACTGAGCAAAAGATATGGAAGGAAATGCAGATAGAACCAGTGAGGAGCAGAGGTGCCATAGGCACAATCAGAGAACACTTTATAAACATCAGAGGTCCGCGGTTGTTCAACGTCCTCCCAGCGACTATAAGAAATATTGCCGGAACAACCGTGGACATACTTAAGCGAAGACTATCTAGTTTTCTTCAAGAAGTGCCGGACCAACCGGGCTGTGGTGGATGTGTGTGCCCGCGGGCCGCTACAAGCAACAGCCTGTTCGACCAAACTCTCACAAGTCAAGCCTGGCCTCGGGCCGGGCTTGGGGAGTGGAAGAACTCCCAGAACCCCAAGTAGGTATAAAGTAGATAAACATGGGGCATAATCTTACAGAATCGACCATACGAGTTATAAATAGTCATACTCTGCCTAAGTCAAACAAAAACAAGAAACAAGTAACAAATAACACTTGGTGGGCCAGCCATATACTCAGGGCCCACGCAGGAATATCCCAGGATAACAAGTGCCCTCTCGCTGGACAACTAAAAACATTTCTAAAATTTCTGGTTGTGGAGCCCTTCATATCTTGCAGGGACTTCCCTCTTTTAAGGTATGCTTGCAGTAGTATTCTTGCAAGTAGTATTCTCGTATTTCTTCTTAAGTTACCCATTGGCATGCTAGTTTTTTGTTGATGTGTACATGTTGTAGTAGCCATAAAGGAAGAGAAACTATACTAGCGAGCGCTCCTAGTGACAGGTGTCGCTCCTAGTGACAGGTGTCGCTCCTAGTGACAGGTGTCGCTCCTAGTGACATGTGTCGCTCCTAGTGACAGGTGTCGCTCCTAGTGACAGGTGTCGCTCCTAGTGACAGGTGTCGCTCCTAGTGACATGTGTCGCTCCTAGTGACAGGTGTCGCTCCTAGTGACATGTGTCGCTCCTAGTGACATGTGTCGCTCCTAGTGACATGTGTCGCTCCTAGTGACAGGTGTCGCTCCTAGTGACAGGTGTCGCTCCTAGTGACAGGTGTCCCTCCTAGTGACAGGTGTCGCTCCTAGTGACAGGTGTCAAGACCGTGCTCGCTAGTCCATCATCATAAATATAGTGGAAATATTTCGCTAATTATTAACTGAATTTGTAAATAAATATGAGATTGATATATAACTCATGATGGAGTGCCGGACCAACCGGGCTGTGGTGGATATGTGGGCCTGCGGGCCGCTCCAAACAACAGCCTAGTGGACCAAACTCTCACAAGTCATGCCTGGCCTCAGTCCGGGCTTGGGGAGTAGAAGAACTCCCAGAACCCCATCAACCAGGTAACCAGGTATCATGTATAACCTGTCCTCTTACAAAATACGTCTTGAATTTGGCTGTATGACCAAAATGGACGTACTGTAATTTGAAAATTAATAATAATTGAAAATAATTTTTTTCCAAAACACAAGAGTCCTCGGGTAGGTTAGGAGGGCAGGAAGCTCTCCTAAGGTTTCAAAATGTGAAGAAAACCGTTAATTGAAAGTTTCCTCTTCTAACCTTACCGAGTTAGCCGGAGGACTCAAAACAGAAAACGGGACAGTACGTCACTTTCGTGAGCCGATTTCATTTCAAATTATGTCCATTTTGGCCATAGCGCGCATTCGGGCGTAGAGCAACGTTGTTTTAAGAGGACAGGTTGCATGCATAGTTATGGTCATTAGGTAATAACTGCAGTCATTAGCCGATGAATATGACTAGATTCCAGTGGTAGTGGCCCACGGTGCCTCCCTCAGGCTCCCAGTGGTAGTGGTCTACGGTGCCTCCCTCAGGCTCCCAGTGGTAGTGGCCCACGGTGCCTCCCTCAGGCTCCCAGTGGTAGTGGCCCACAGTGCCTCCCTCAGGCTCCCAGTGGTAGTGGCCCACAGTGCCTCCCTCAGGCTCCCAGTGGTAGTGGCCCACGGTGCCTCCCTCAGGCTCCCAGTGGTAGTGGCCCACGGTGCCTCCCTCAGGCTCCCAGTGGTAGTGGTCCATAGTGCCTCCCTCAGGCTCCCAGTGGTAGTGGTCCACGGTGCCTCCCTCAGGCTCCCAGTGGTAGTGGCCCACGGTGCCTCCCTCAGGCTCCCAGTGGTAGTGGTCCACGGTGCCTCCCTCAGGCTCCCAGTGGTAGTGGTCCACGGTGCCTCCCTCAGGCTCCCAGTGGTAGTGGTCCACGGTGCCTCCCTCAGGCTCCCAGTGGTAGTGGTCCACGGTGCCTCCCTCAGGCTCCCAGTGGTAGTGGCCCACGGTGCCTCCCTCAGGCTCCCTGTGGTAGTGGCCCACGGTGCCTCCCTCAGGCTCCCTGTGGCAGTGGCCCACAGTGCCTCCCTCAGGCTCCCAGTGGTAGTGGCCCACAGTGCCTCCCTCAGGCTCCCAGTGGTAGTGGCGGTAGTGGTACCCGTCTCGAGTACTGCTCAGTACTCACTTCCCCCTTCAGAGCAGGAGAGATTGCTGAAATAGAGGGAATACAGAGAACATATACGGCACGCATAGACGAGATAAAACACCTAAATTATTGGGATCGTCTCAAAGCTCTCCAAATGTACTCTCTAGAAAGGAGACGAGAGAGATACCAAATAATATACACCTGGAAAATACTGGAGGGTCAGGTCCCAAATCTACACAGTAAAATAACAACGTACTGGAGTGAACGATATGGAAGAAAATGCAAGATTGAACCTGTGAAGAGCAGAGGTGCCATAGGCACAATCAGAGAGCACTGTATAAACATCAGGGGTCCGCGGTTGTTCAACGTCCTCCCAGCGAGCATAAGAAATATTGCCGGAACAACCGTGGACATCTTCAAGAGAAAACTGGACGGTTTTCTAAGAGAAGTTCCGGATCAGCCGGGCTGTGGTGGGTACGTGGCCCTGCGGGCCGCTCCAAGCAACAGCCTGGTGGACCAAACTCTCACAAGTCGAGCCTGGCCTCGGGCCGGGCTTGGGGAGTAGAAGAACTCCCAGAACCCCATCAACCAGGTATCAACCAGGTGGCCCACGGTGCCTCTCTCAGGCTCCCAGTGGTAGTGGCCCACAGTGCCTCCCTCAGGCTCCCAGTGGTAGTGGTCCACGGTGCCTCCCTAAGGCTCCCAGTGGTAGTGGCCCACAGTGCCTCCCTCAGGCTCCCAGTGGTAGTGGCCCACGGTGCCTCCCTCAGGCTCCCTGTGGCAGTGGCCCACAGTGCCTCCCTCAGGCTCCCAGTGGTAGTGGCCCACAGTGCCTCCCTCAGGCTCCCAGTGGTAGTGGCCCACGGTGCCTCCCTCAGGCTCCCAGTGGTAGTGGCCCACGGTGCCTCCCTCAGGCTCCCAGTGGTAGTGGTCCACGGTGCCTCCCTCAGGCTCCCAGTGGTAGTGGCCCACGGTGCCTCCCTCAGGCTCCCAGTGGTAGTGGTCCACGGTGCCTCCCTCAGGCTCCCAGTGGTAGTGGTCCACGGTGCCTCCCTCAGGCTCCCAGTGGCAGTGGCCCACGGTGCCTCCCTCAGGCTCCCAGTGGCAGTGGCCCACGGTGCCTCCCTCAGGCTCCCAGTGGTAGTGGTCCACGGTGCCTCCCTCAGGCTCCCAGTGGTAGTGGCCCACGGTGCCTCCCTCAGGCTCCCAGTGGTAGTGGTCCACGGTGCCTCCCTCAGGCTCCCAGTGGTAGTGGTCCACGGTGCCTCCCTCAGGCTCCCAGTGGTAGTGGCCCACGGTGCCTCCCTCAGGCTCCCAGTGGTAGTGGCCCACGGTGCCTCCCTCAGGCTCCCAGTGGTAGTGGCCCACGGTGCCTCCCTCAGGCTCCCAGTGGTAGTGGCCCACGGTGCCTCCCTCAGGCTCCCAGTGGTAGTGGCCCACGGTGCCTCCCTCAGGCTCCCAGTGGTAGTGGCCCACGGTGCCTCCCTCAGGCTCCCAGTGGTAGTGGCCCACGGTGCCTCCCTCAGGCTCCCAGTGGTAGTGGTCCACGGTGCCTCCCTCAGGCTCCCAGTGGCAGTGGCCCACGGTGCCTCCCTCAGGCTCCCAGTGGTAGTGGTCCACGGTGCCTCCCTCAGGCTCCCAGTGGTAGTGGCCCACGGTGCCTCCCTCAGGCTCCCAGTGGTAGTGGCCCACGGTGCCTCCCTCAGGCTCCCAGTGGTAGTGGTCCACGGTGCCTCCCTCAGGCTCCCAGTGGTAGTGGCCCACGGTGCCTCCCTCAGGCTCCCAGTGGTAGTGGTCCACGGTGCCTCCCTCAGGCTCCCAGTGGTAGTGGTCCACGGTGCCTCCCTCAGGCTCCCAGTGGCAGTGGCCCACGGTGCCTCCCTCAGGCTCCCAGTGGTAGTGGTCCACGGTGCCTCCCTCAGGCTCCCAGTGGTAGTGGCCCACGGTGCCTCCCTCAGGCTCCCTGTGGTAGTGGCCCACGGTGCCTCCCTCAGGCTCCCAGTGGTAGTGGTCCACGGTGCCTCCCTCAGGCTCCCAGTGGTAGTGGTCCACGGTGCCTCCCTCAGGCTCCCAGTGGTAGTGGCCCACGGTGCCTCCCTCAGGCTCCCAGTGGTAGTGGCCCACGGTGCCTCCCTCAGGCTCCCAGTGGTAGTGGCCCACGGTGCCTCCCTCAGGCTCCCAGTGGTAGTGGTCCACGGTGCCTCCCTCAGGCTCCCAGTGGTAGTGGTCCACGGTGCCTCCCTCAGGCTCCCAGTGGTAGTGGTCCATAGTGCCTCCCTCAGGCTCCCAGTGGTAGTGGTCCATAGTGCCTCCCTCAGGCTCCCAGTGGTAGTGGCCCACGGTGCCTCCCTCAGGCTCCCAGTGGTAGTGGCCCACGGTGCCTCCCTCAGGCTCCCAGTGGTAGTGGCCCACGGTGCCTCCCTCAGGCTCCCAGTGGTAGTGGCCCACGGTGCCTCCCTCAGGCTCCCAGTGGTAGTGGTCCACGGTGCCTCCCTCAGGCTCCCAATCTGATTTCTTACTAATTTGAAATCTGGACCTTCTGTTGAATCTCTATCTTTCAATATACCTTTAGATTATTGCAAGGGTCTGTCATTGTGTGTGTTGGGGGGGGGGTATAACCTGGTCCATTGAGAACGGGAATTTAAATACAAAAATAATTTAATATGATCTGCAGTGATCTCCATGTAAGGCGCCGGGTGACTTGTTGGGGGAAAGAGAGCATTGTGGGATTGAACACCACTCTAACGTCCTGAACCTTTTCTGAGAATGTTCCTTTGATGATTTTTACAAAGTGAAATGATGATTGCACGCTATAAATATAATGAGACTTGGGAGTGGAGGGTCGTGCAAGGGGCTGGGGGGGGGAGGGGACCCCACACTGTGGAAGAAACAGTGTGGGGAGTGTGGGGGCCGGGGGGGGGGAGGGGGCCCCACACTGTGGAAGAAACAGTGTGGGGAGTGTGGGGGCCGGGGGGGGGGGGAGGGGGCCCCACACTGTGGAAGAAACAGTGTGGGGAGTGTGGGGGCCGGGGGGGGGGGAGGGGGCCCCACACTGTGGAAGAAACAGTGTGGGGAGTGTGGGGGCCGGGGGGGGCCGTGTGCTGCGTCAGTATGGGACACTCAACACTGTCCTTTACCACGCTGGAACTGTGGCCATCCGGGTGGCTTGGTCGCCACACCTGGGGGTCACCTGGCCACACCCGGGGCCACCTGGCCACACCCGGGGCCACCTGGCCACACCCGGAGGCCACCTGGCCACACCCGGAGGCCACCTGGCCACACCTGGAGGCCACCTGGCCACACCCGGAGGCCACCTGGCCACACCCGGAGGCCACCTGGCCACACCCGGAGGCCACCTGGCCACACCCGGAGGCCACCTGGCCACACCCGGAGGCCACCTGGCCACACCCGGAGGCCACCTGGCCACACCCGGAGGCCACCTGGCCACACCCGGAGGCCACCTGGCCACACCCGGAGGCCACCTGGCCACACCCGGAGGCCACCTGGCCACACCCGGAGGCCACCTTACTAAATCTAATGTCGGCTTTTCTCCCCTTCCCCCCCCCCCCCCCCACCCTCTCCCCCAACCACACGTATCCTTTCATAATAACCATATCATATTTTTTTCTACCACAGACGTGGCCACACAGTTACAATGCTAACCAGCATATGTACATTTTTGTGTAGTAGTGATCCTCTGAGGTACTTCATTCCTCTTATAAGGAATTAGTCATAGGTGACTAATGAGCCTAAAACATCAAATGAGTCAAATGCTTTTCGGTTCTTATATTTTGTCTTCACAAATTAGCGTGTCATAGTTAACATGTACTGCAATTGAAGAGGACCAGGTATTGAAAATCAACCAGGTATCAACCAGGTATCAACCAGGTATCAACCAGGTATCAACCAGGAGAGAGATTTGTATAATGCTGAACATAACTCTCAAATATGGCAAGAGTCAGTTTGACATCAAGGTACAAAGTGAGCGGCCGACGAGTGGGGTAAACAGCGGCACTTTGGAAGGTGGGCCTTAGTGCATTGTGTTCGTCCCAAGTGTGAGGTGTAGCGAGTGTGAGCTGTGTCTAGTGTGAGGTGTAGCGAGTGTGAGCTGTGTCTAGTGTGAGGTGTAGCGAGTGTGAGCTGTGTCTATTGTGAGGTGTAGCGAGTATGAGCTGTGTCTAGTGTGAGGTGTGCCAAGTGTTAGGTGTAGCGAGTGTGAAATGTGTCTAGTGTGAGATGTGTCTAGTGTGAGGTGTAGCGAGTGTGAGCTGTGTCTAGTGTGAGGTGTAGCGAGTGTGAGCTGTGTCTAGTGTGAGGTGTAGCGAGTGAGAGATGTCTATTGTGAGGTGTGCCAAGTGTGAGGTGTAGCGAGTGTGAGATGTGTCTAGTGTGAGGTGTAGCGAGTGTGAGCTGTGTCTAGTGTGAGGTGTAGCGAGTGTGAGCTGTGTCTAGTGTGAGGTGTAGCGAGTGAGAGATGTCTATTGTGAGGTGTGCCAAGTGTGAGGTGTAGCGAGTGTGAAATGTGTCTAGTGTGAGGTGTAGCGAGTGAGAGCTGTTGTATATATGAGCTCATATCTAGTGCTATACTAAGCCTCTTCCTTTACCTATCAGATGGTGAGAGTCGTGTTTCAGTGTGGTGGAGGGAACGAGCGCGCCACCTAGCCTAGCCAGTCCATCAGATAATAAGCCAGACAATACCACCAAGTATAGTATACAATAATATATATACTAGTTAAACGTATATATATATTTTTATTATTTTGTGTAAACTGCCGCGTTGATCCCTGACTGTTCTCGTCATCACACAGTAGTCACTGTAATAGTGTTGATAATTTCATTCAGATGACTGTAAAGTAGTAACACGTTAATGATTCGCCTCCGTTCACCCAACAGTGATTGGCTACTGGATATTAATATGTTAAGGGGGCCTCGTAGCCTGGTGGATAGCGCGCAGGATTCGTAATTCTGTGGCGCGGGTTCGATTCCCGCACGAGGCAGAAGCAAATGGGCAAAGTTTCTTTCACCCTGAATGCCCCTGTTACCTAGCAGTAAATAGGTACCTGGGAGTTAGTCAGCTGTCACGGGCTGCTTCCTGGGGGTGGAGGCCTGGTCGAGCACCGGGCCGCGGGGACACTAAAAAGCCCCGAAATCATCTCAAGATAACCTCAAGATACCCTCAAGAAGGGACTGGCTGGTTGCTCCTGCAACCTGTCCTCTTAAAAAGAACGCCGCTTTTGGCCGTTTGCCCGAATATGGACGTAATCTGAACATGAAAAAAAATGAAAATAAATTTGGGGATTTTTTTTTGTTTCAACAACAGTAAGAAGTTAAGTGAGCCCTGAGGGCTTGAGGTGTAGCGGGAGTGTCACTGGCGATGCTAATTGTCTCGTCACACATCTCCGGTGGGAACCCGGCCGTCGACGTCACGCTTGAGGCTCGGCCCTCACACTTTTCACTGAGAGTGTCTGGCTGGACTCTCCTGTTGTGCTTGCGTCTCGCGACACTGGGGTGGGGGGGGGGGTTCTGGCCCCGTGATGCACATGTTGCGTCATCACGCTGTTACGGTGATGCTGTTACTGCTACTTCATCTACTGTTGCTGTTACTTCTGCTACTGGTTAAACCACTGCTCCCGCTGGTACTACTGCTGTTGCTGGCACTGTTGGTGGTACTATGAATGTACTCACCTAATTGTACTCCCCTAATTGTGTTTGCGGGGGATTGAGCTTTGGCTCTTTGGTCCCGCCTCTCAACTCTCAATCAACTGGTAATCAATGTGTACTCTTGGCGGCTCTGCGTTGGTGTCTCCCATTATTGTTGGCGTCATAAATTATTTCTTGGGTCTATCATTACTCGCGTCATTGCAGTTATTGCTGTAATAACTACTATATCAATATGACGTCAGTAAATGTGCATTATGTCATTATATCAGCATATATCATATGTTAATTACGTGTCATGCACACGTTTTTGCAAGAAGTGGCAGGCCAACCAGGCTGTAGTGGATATGTGGACCTGCGGGCCGCTCCAAACAACAGCCTGTTGGACCAAGTTATCACAAGGCGAACCTGGCCCCATGCCGGCCTCGGGGGAGTAGAAAATTCCCCCAAACCCTGTCAGAGATGCCACCGTATACGCATATATAATATATATATATATATATATATATATATATATATATATATATATATATATATATATATATATATATATATATATATGTCGTACCTAGTAGCCAGAACGCACTTCTATGCCTACTATGCACGGCCCGATTTGCCTAATAAGCCAAGTTTTCCTGAATTAATATATTTTCTCTAATTTTTTCTTATGAAATGATAAAGCTACCCATTTCATTATATATGAGGTCATTTTTTTTATTGGAGTTTAAATTGACGTAGATATATGACCGAACCTAACCAACCCTACCTAACCTAACCTATCTTTATAGGTTAGGTTAGGTTAGGTAGCCGAAAAAGTTAGGTTAGGTTAGGTTAGGTAGGTTAGGTAGTCGAAAAACAATTAATTCATGAAAACTTGGCTTATTAGGCAAATCGGGCCTTGCATAGTAGGCTGAGAAGTGAGTTCTGGCTACTAGGTACGACATTATATATATATATATATATATATATATATATATATATATATATATATATATATATATATATATGTGTTACCAAGTTATATATATATATATATATATATATATATATATATATATATATATATATATATATATATATACTAGGTACTAGGTATATATATACTATACTAGTATATATATATATACTAGGTACGACATATATATATATATATATATATATATATATATATATATATATATATATATATATATATATATATATATATGTCGTACCTAGTATATATATATATACTAGTATAGTATATATATACCTAGTACCTAGTATATATATATATATATATATATATATATATATATATATATATATATATATATATATATATATATATATGTCGTACCTAGTAGCCAGAACTCACTTCTCAGCCTACTATTCAAGGCCAGATTTGCCTAGTAAGCCAAGTTTTCCTGAATTAATATATTTACTATAATTTTTTTCTTATGAAATGATAAAGCAACCCTTTTCTCCATGTATGAGGTCAATTTTATTTTATTGGAGTTAAAATTAACGTAGATATATGACCGAACCTAACCAACCCTACCTAACCTAACCTAACCTATATTTATAGGTAAGGTTAGGTTAGGTAGCCAAAAAAAGCTAGGTTAGGTTAGGTTAGGTAGGTTAGGTAGACGAAAAAACATTAATTCATGAAAACTTGGCTTATTAGGCAAATCGGGCCTTGAATAGTAGGCTGAGAAGTGCGTTCTGGCTATTAGGTACGACATATATATATATATTGTGTGTGTGTGTGTGTGTGTGTGTGATTCTTGTCTCATGTGATTCCTAGGGGCACCGGATTGAAGATGACAGACATGACAGACACGCCCATGACATCACCCTAACAAGAGAAATGCCGAATAAAAACACTTGTATAATAGACAAAATCCAAGATGGAAGAAGATTACAAATTCTTGAAGCAATCCAATTTTTTTTTTTTTTTTTTTTTTAGATATATACAAGAGTTGTAACATTCTTGTACAGCCACTAGTACGCGTAGCGTTTCGGGCAGGTCCCTGGAATACGATCCCCGCCGCGAAGAATCGTTTTTTCATCCAAGTACACATTTTACTGTTGCGTTAAACAGAGGCTACAGTTAAGGAATTGCGCCCAGTAAATCCTCCCCGGCCAGGATACGAACCCATGACATAGCGCTCGCGGAACGCCAGGAACATAAGAATAGAACAACCTACCATGAACACCCAAATCACGGAACTATTTACTCTACCCACCATGAGAGTAAGAACAAGACCGGAACATAACGATGCCAACACAGAAGTCACTGTTCAACATAATAGGCCTATTACACCCGTCAAACTGGGTGTAATCCGATTACACCCGATTAATCTTTGTATGTGCTTCGTCCCCTATTATCCCCTATTTATCTCCTTGCCTTTTTCCTTTATTCTATTTGTTTTTTCACCTGACCCCGTACTGGTATAAATCTGAGAGATCTGTAATATATATATATATATATATATATATATATATATATATATATATATATATATATATATATATATATATATATATATATATATATAATACACACACACACATATAATTATACTAGCTGTACCCGGCCACAGCAACCTTTCCCTGTCTCCCAGTCCTCCCTACCATTCCCCCCCCCCTTCCCCATTCCCTCGTCTTCCCCACCTTCTCCCACTCTCCTGTCCCCTTGTCCTCCCCACCATTCTCCATTCCCCTGTCCACTTGTCCCCATCATCCCCCAACTCCCCGTCCCCTCGTTCTCCCACCATTCCCTACTCCCTCGTCCGATGCAATCCCAAATGATCTGATGTTCCTTTCAGAAAGCTGGGAACATCAAATGATCTAATGTTCCTATCACTGAGATACAAGAAAAGGTTAAAAAAAGAAATGAAAAACAACGAAAAAAATCAACTATACTCACGAAATGAACGTTATGGTAAACAACACAGCTCAATCCTAACGCAGTGTCACACAAAATAATTAAATTATAATTAAAATAAATCGAAATCTATGAAAATTCAATTCATCAATGCAATCGGAAACATTGAAATGGAATTGTAACATATTTAGTATAGCGTGTGTTGCTGTTACGTGCAACAGATGGCGTTGTTTTTAAAAAAAAAAAAAAAATTTCCTGTCACAGGTGAGGCATGAATATAGTAGGTATAGAAAAACGCGCGCCTAATTCGAATGCAATGTTGTGTCAAAATTTCAAAGCAATCGGTAAGGAGGTTTCGAAAATTTCCCTCACATGAAAAACACAGCTTTAAAAAAAACATGTTTTTCTCCCATCGCAGACGTGACATCTATATAGTATGTATATAAAAACCCGCTCGGATGTGAATGGAACGTTGTGTGAAAATTTCAAAGTAATCGGTGAAGAACTTTCGGAGATTAGCAATTTTGAACAAACGAACATTTACATTCTTTATTTATATAGATATTGATTTGCGAACAAGCTTGAATTGTCCCCAAGCCAATATGCAACTGAGAACTCCACACCCCAGAAGGATTCGAACCCAGACAGCCAAGAGCACTATGCACCATTGTGCATAGTGCTCTTGGCGTAGCGTACCTGGTTCTTTAACCACTAGACCACACGACTCTACAAAAATGTTGGAAGTCGTGAGACTATTTGCCCAACATCCGACAGCGCTCTTTGGTCAACTCTGGCATAGATATTTCATCGAATCACCTCGCTTTGTGGGACCACGTGAGCAACTCAAATGCGAACAAGCTTCAATAGTACGCAACTGAAAGCTCCACACCCCCACTGGGTGTTGCATATTTGTGTATCCAGTAGCTAGTCTCCCATCCTCCATCCTCCCCCATCTGCGACACACGCCCCGTGGCCCTCCACGACAACTCATTGTGCCAAAGTTTCAAAACTCTTTTTGCTATAAATTTCCTGTTGCTGGCGGACGTTGAAGAACCGTCAATCTTGTCTAATTGGCGTTCATTCTTAGAGGGTTCCAATATGTGCTGGCGTCCCAGTATGCCTCTGTCTATGACTATGCCATACTGGCTTCCATACTCGGCCCAGGCTAACATACCTGTTAGCCTGTTAGCCTAGATGATAACATACCTGTATTATCTATAGAGGAGGATGGGTTGCAGTATGATCTACTGTCTCTACTACATTTTCCCTGTCTCATCCTTCCCCCCCCTTCCCATCCTCCCCCCCTTCCCATCCTACCCCCCCCCCTTCCCATCCTCCCCCCCCCCTTCCCATCCTCCCCCCCTTCCCATCCTTCCCCCCCTTCCCATCCTTCCCCCCGTTCCAACCCAAATTCTTATCCTGCCCCCCCCCTTCTCAAGTCCTATACAGTCGTAATGGCATGACGCTTTCTTCTCATAGTTCCCTTCCCTTCCTGGTAGTGTGAATGTGTCCTACATCTGTAAAGCACTGCACTCCTGGTAGCCTGGTAGTGTGAATGTGTCCTACACCTGTCTCTTTCCCCCCCCCCCCCCCCCCCCCAATGCACTCCAGGTAGCGTGAATGTGTCCCTACACCTGTAAAGCACTGCACTCCTGGTAGCGTGAATGTGTCCCTACACCTGTAAAGCACTGCACTCCTGATAGCGTGAATGTGTCCCTACACCTGTAAAGCACTGCACTCCTGGTAGCGTGAATGTGTCCCTACACCTGTAAAGCACTGCACTCCTGATAGCGTGAATGTGTCCCTACACCTGTAAAGCACTGCACTCCTGGTAGCGTGAATGTGTCCCTACACCTGTCTCTCTCTACCCATGCCCCTGGTGACGGTTGTTGATGGGTTCCCTCTCTGGTTTTGCAGTAACAAGTGCCTTAATGAGAAGCGACGCAGAGAGCAGGAGAACACGTACATCGAGGAGCTGGCAGAGTTAATCCAAGCCAGCATCGCCTCTGACATGAGCTCACTCTCTGTCAAGCCGGATAAGTGCGCCATCCTGCAGCAGACGGTCAACCAGGTACGTCCTCGTCCACCTGTCCATATGCTCCCCTCCTCGCCTCACCTGTCTATGCTCCCTCCTCGCCTCACCTGTCCATGCTCACCTATCGCCCATCTCCCACACCTTTGCTTCAGCCATCCGCACAGTTTTTTTCCACCGTCCTGTATCCTCACATTCTTGTCAAGTGCCTCATCCTGCCTCATCATCATTGGCATGAGCGTTGCTTTTCTTGCGTCTCCTGCGCTCTCCTCCCTTCCCTCACTCCCTTACCTCCCTCTCCCGACCCCTTCCCTCCCCTCTTTCCTTCACCTCTCCCCCCCCCCAAGCCTTCTTTCCTGATTACCCCCTCCCCTCTCTCTCCCGCCGCTTATATCTCCTTGAATACCAGTTCCATCCTCATATTTCTGCCAGCGGGGGCTGCAGCTTGTCTCACAGCCCCTGTGGTGGCCAGAGACTGCTCTCACAACCCCTGTGGTGACCAGAGACCACTCTCACAACCCCTGTGGTGACCAGAGACCACTCTCACAGCCCCTGTGGTGACCAGAGACTGCTCTCACAGCCCCTGTGGTGACCAGAGACTGCTCTCACAACCCCTGTGGTGACCAGAGACCACTCTCACAGCCCCTGTGGTGGCCAGAGACTGCTCTCACAGCCCCTGTGGTGGCCAGAGACTGCTCTCACAGCCCCTGTGGGACCAGAGACTGCTCTCACAACCCCTGTGGTGGCCAGAGACTGCTCTCACAACCCCTGTGGTGACCAGAGACCACTCTCACAACCCCTGTGGTGACCAGAGACCACTCTCACAACCCCTGTGGTGACCAGAGACCACTCTCACAGCCCCTGTGGTGACCAGAGACTGCTCTCACAGCCCCTGTGGTGACCAGAGACTGCTCTCACAACCCCTGTGGTGACCAGAGACCACTCTCACAGCCCCTGTGGTGGCCAGAGACTGCTCTCACAGCCCCTGTGGTGGCCAGAGACTGCTCTCACAGCCCCTGTGGGACCAGAGACTGCTCTCACAGCCCCTGTGGTGGCCAGAGACTGCTCTCACAGCCCACCAAATAACCAGTTATTATCACAGAGCGTGGCACGAGTCCCAAAGTAGTGGACTAGTGTGCCTCTCGTGTTACCCTTCACCCCTGGTGGTTAAAATTGTTACTTCATCGATGCGATTGTTGTCCACTACGCTACTCACAGCTTGCTGCCCTCCCTCCCTCCCTCCCTCTCACACACTTGATTCCATCCTGATCAACCAGGCTGTGATCCATACGTCAGGCTACGAGCAGCCGCGTCCAACAGCCTGGTTGACCAGACGACCAGCCGGGAGGTCTGGTCGGAGACCGGGCCGCCTGCAGTGCCCCCCTGTTGGTGGGTTTCCCTGCGAGGGGGAGCGAGGGCCGCCGTGGCTCCACTGCTCCACCCAAGGCGGTTTATTACATGTTCCGCGATTAAAGGCGCTGTGTGGCTGTGTTGAGGAGCCGAGTGTGTGTGTATTGGGAGGTGGGGGGTTACTGGGTGTTTGGGGAGGGGGGATGGGTTGCATCATGCCGCACCACCTGTTGCTTGGTCCACCTGACCCCCCCCCCCCCCCCCCTCCATAACCTTCCAGCCCCTTGCCTCCTCCCTTGCCTTTCCCTCACCTTCCTCCCCTCCCCTCTCCCCCTCCCTCCCCTCTCCTTTCCCCCTCCCTCCCCTCTCCTTTCCCCCTCCCTCCCCTCTCCTTTCCCCTCCCTCCCTCCCCTCTCCCTCCCCTCCCCTCTCCCCCTCCCCCTCCCCCCCCTCCCCTCTCCCCCTCCCTCCCCTCCCCTCTCCCCCTCCCTCTCCTCCCCTCTCCCCCTCCCTCCCCCCCTCCCCTCCCTCCCCTCTCCCCCTCCCTCCCCTCCCCTCTCCCCCCCCCTCCCCTCCCCTCTCCTTTCCCCCTCCCTCCCTTCCTGGCCCCCACCATTCAGACACGCAGATCACCCGCGGGAACGGCCAGGAAAGTGGCTAATCCAAACAAATATCGATTGAAGTCGATTTCCCACATCATTTAGGAAACAAACGGGGCTCGTTGGCCCGAGATGACGCAAAGCCAACCGCGGAACCAATGTTGTTAATATCAAAAGGAAAACGAGAAGACGATCATTTTGGATAATTTAGGTTCACTCTACATGGAAAAAGATCTTTGAAATTGCGTAAAATGCAATTTTAATGATTCTCATTCAGACAGACGATTTTTGTGAGTGTATCAATGGTTCGCAAATAGCGACCAGGATCAATTTTCCCTCTTGAAATGCCCCCGTCGTCCTTTCCTCGCTGTGTGGGACAGCAACTTGGCCGTCTTCACTAGGGAAGCCGCGGGCTTCACTAGGGAAGCCGCGGGCCTCACTATAGTCTAGGGCCTAGACTATGTGACGTCAAGAGCAATTACGCTAGACTCTAGGGTATTTGCATAAATGTATGTACCTACGTAATAATAATAATGTAACCACTCAGACTGACGGCCACTTGCATATATCTCTATGACTCTCACTGTTGCCTGTGTTGTTGTGTTAGTGAAGCGCATACTTATCAATATGCTGTGATATGTGTCCTTTGATTTTATTCTTCCGACATATTTCGTAATATTTAATGTTTTAAGTTTTGTGGAATCCATTCAGTGGCTTAAATGGCCTTGTGTGTGGGTTCAGGTAGTTACACTTAAGGGGTTTGGCTTCAGCTCTGGCGTGCGCCTCTTAACTCTCACTCGGCTCGTTTGCAGTTTCTCAGACTTATTGGGCTCTTGAGCATATCATATATCTACATTTTAGGCCGTGTTTACAATCTGCCTCAAACACTCCACTTTTTAATGCTATCTTTCTGTTCATTATCCGTGACGCTTTGGCATGTATTTCTAACACGTGTGTGGCTTGTTCGAGTAATTGGTTTCTTTCTGTTTTCCCTTTTTCATCTGTGTATGTGTATTCATCTAGTTGTACTCGCCTAGCTGTGCTTGCGGGGGTTGAGCTTTGCTCTTTCGGCCCGCCTCTCAACTGTCAATCAACTATTTACTACTTTTTTTTCTCCACACCACACATACACCCCCCTTTAAGCAGCCCGTGACAGCTGACTAACTGCAAGGTACCTATTTACTGCTAGGTAACAGGGGCATTCAGGGTCAAAGAAACTTTGCCCATTTGTTTCTGCCTGGTGCGGGAATCGAACCCGCGCCACATAATTAAGAGTCCTGCGGTCTATCCACCAGGAACCGCATTCACGAAGCAGTTACGCAAGTACTTACGAACGTGTACACCTTTCCTCAGTTTTTGACGCCTTTGATTACATTTATTAAACAGTTTACAAGCATGAAAACTTCCCAATCAACTGTTGTTATTGTTATAAACAGCCTCCTGGTGCTTCGGAGCTCACTAACTTTATAATAATTGTAAACAGAGCCGCCAAAGATTGAGGACAGATGTATAGGTTAGTAAGTACTTGCGTAACTGCTTCATGAATCTGGGCCCAGGCTACCAGGTCCCCAGGTCCAGGTAGTGTGTGTGTGTGTGTGTGTGTGTGTGTGTGTGTGTGTGTGTGTGTGTGTGTGTGTGTGTGTGTGTGTGTGTGTGTGTGTGTGTGTGTGTATTACGTCACCACCTTGATTAACGTAAGCGTTAATCCCCAGACACCAACACCTGCAGACTTCCCCCCGTGTTGACCGTGTGGCAAGCAGCCATGGTGCAGGAGAGCGGGGTCACAGTTGACGGGGTTGGTGCACCCGGTCTAGAGTACACACTCTCGTGGTGCAGTTCTAAACGTGTAGTGACCTTCACACCAAAGCAGTCAGTCAACACAAAAGAAAGCCTAAGCGGTCAATGTAAACAATCACTCTAGCCCTTCCTCCTGCCGAACCGAATTTTACTACTAGGAAGGTAACGATCGACTGTGCCATGGTCACTCTGGTTTGGCATGAACGAGCCTGACAACTAGCCGGACAGGACAGGCGCTTGGACCAAGCTCTCAGCAAGCCCAGCCTGGCCCCGGGCCGGGCTCGGGCAGTACAGGCGCTTGGACCAAGCTCTCAGCAAGCCCAGCCTGGCCCCGGGCCGGGCTCGGGCAGTACAGGCGCTTGGACCAAGCTCTCAGCAAGCCCAGCCTGGCCCCGGGCCGGGCTCGGGCAGTACAAGCACTCCCACATGCAGCAGGTGTCCGGCAGGACTGACACACGGAGCCTGAGGATGCTCACATCCCAGTAAGCACCGGACATCTGCATACAGGTATAAAGCGGCGCTCTGTAATATTTCCCTATTAGCTGCCTCTTACAGTGGTGGTACTGGATGCAGTTCACCGACAGTAGCTGCTCCCGCAACACCGACAGTAGCTGCTCCCGCGACACCGACAGTAGCTGCTCCCGCGACACCGACAGTAGCTGCTCCCGCGACACCGACAGTAGCTGCTCCCGCGACACCGACAGTAGCTGCTCCCGCGACACCGACAGTAGCTGCTCCCGCGACACCGACAGTAGCTGCTCCCGCGACACGACAGTAGCTGCTCCCGCGACACCGACAGTAGCTGCTCCCGCGACACCGACAGTAGCTGCTCCCGCAACACCGACAGTAAAGCCAGCAGCAACACCGACAGTAAAGCCAGCAGCAACACCGACAGTAAAGCCAGCAGCAACACCGAGAGTAAAGCCAGCAGCAACACCGACAGTAAAGCCAACAGCAACACCGAGAGTAAAGCCAGCAGCAACACCGAGAGTAAAGCCAGCAGCAACACCGAGAGTAAAGCCAGCAGCAACACCGAGAGTAAAGCCAGCAGCAACACCGACAGTAAAGCCAGCAGCAACACCGAGAGTAAAGCCAACAGCAACACCGAGAGTAAAGCCAGCAGCAACACCGAGAGTAAAGCCAGCAGCAACACCGACAGTAAAGCCAGCAGCAACACCGACAGTAAAGCCAGCAGCAACACCGACAGTAAAGCCAGCAGCAACACCGAGAGTAAAGCCAGCAGCAACACCGACAGTAAAGCCAACAGCAACACCGAGAGTAAAGCCAGCAGCAACACCGACAGTAAAGCCAGCAGCAACACCGAGAGTAAAGCCAGCAGCAACACCGACAGTAAAGCCAGCAGCAACACCGAGAGTAAAGCCAGCAGCAACACCGACAGTAAAGCCAGCAGCAACACCGAGAGTAAAGCCAACAGCAACACCGACAGTAAAGCCAGCAGCAACACCGAGAGTAAAGCCAGCAGCAACACCGACAGTAAAGCCAGCAGCAACACCGACAGTAAAGCCAGCAGCAACACCGACAGTAAAGTCAGCAGCAACACCGACAGTAAAGTCAGCAGCAACACCGACAGTAAAGCCAGCAGCAACACCGACAGTAAAGCCAACAGCAACACCGACAGTAAAGCCAACAGCAACACCGACAGTAAAGCCAGCAGCAACACCGACAGTAAAGCCAGCAGCAACACCGACAGTAAAGCCAGCAGCAACACCGAGAGTAAAGCCAGCAGCAACACCGAGAGTAAAGCCAGCAGCAACACCGAGAGTAAAGCCAGCAGCAACACCGAGAGTAAAGCCAGCAGCAACATTAATACTAAAGACATAAAGAGCGCAACAAGTAGCATCAAGAGCCACAAGAAGAGAGGAGACGGCAACAGTGGGCATAATATCAACTATAGCAACAGCCGCACCTGTAATAACATATTACAACATGCTGGCGTGAAAGAGATGTTAGGAAGTGTAAGAACAGCCGGAATATCAAGACGTGGCGTCATCACCACAATTAAGAGAACATAGTGTAAATGTCAGAGGGTCACGACATTGCCACCATCCTGCCAGTGTGAGAAGTATTGCTGGAACAACATGGCAAAGTTTTCATGTGCGAAGCTGGCAACTTCTGGGTCGAGTTAGTAGATCAGTCTGGCTATGATGGCAGGGTGGTGAACTGGAGAGCGTGCAGAGATCCTTTACTGCTAGAATCCACTCAGTAAAACATCTAAACTATTGGGACCGACTAAAGAGCCTAAATCTGTATTCTCTTGAGCGCAGGCGGGAGAGATACATAATAATTTACACGTGGAAAATATTAGGGGGGCTCTGATCCCAAACCTGCACACAGAAATAACATCACATAAGACCAGAAGGCATGGCAGGATGTGCAGAATACCCCCGTTGAAGAGCAGAGGTGCAACAGGTACTCTGAGAGAGAACTCTATCAACATCAGAGGCCCGAGACTGTTCAACACGCTTCCACTACACATAAGGGGCATAACTGGCCGACCCCTCACAGTGTTCAAGAGAGAACTTGACAAACACCTCCAAAGGATACCTGATCAACCAGGCTGTGACTCGTACGTTATACTGCGAGCAGCCGCGTCCATCAGCCTGGTTGACCAGTCCAGCAACGAGGAGGCCTGGTTGAGGACCGGGCCGCGGGGTCGCCAAGCCCCGGAAGCACCTCAAGGTGGTGTACTTGCCGGCTAGGAAGACACTCTCAGCGAACAGACAATCAACAGGGAAGTGTGGCCCCAGGCCAGGTTAGTACACAGGTGCTCCAGGAGAAGCAACACCGCACCAGCAACACCAGGAGAAGCAACACCGCACAAGCAACACCAGGAGAAGCAACACCGCACAAGCAACACCAGGAGGAGAAGCAACACACAGCACCAGTAACACCAGGAGAAGCAACACCGCACAAGCAACACCAGGAGAAGCAACACCGCACAAGCAACACCAGGAGAAGCAACACAGCACCAGTAACACCAGGAGAAGCAACACCGCACAAGCAACACCAGGAGAAGCAACACCGCACAAGCAACACCAGGAGAAGCAACACAGCACCAACACCAGGAGAAGCAACACCGCACAAGCAACACCAGGAGAAGCAACACCGCACAAGCAACACCAGGAGAAGCAACACCGCACAGGAGAACAGCAACACCAGGAGAAGCAACACCGCACCAGTAACACCAGGAAGAATACACTAACACCCAGGAGAAGCAACACCGCACAAGCAACACCAGGAGAAGCCTCAATACTACTACCAGAAACAGCAGACATACAAAGGATATTAATAACAGCATAAATAACACCACAGGACTAACGCTAAAGTAGCAGTAGCGGCAGTAACACCAACAGTAATGGTTGTACAGCCAATGGTTGTACTATTCAAATCACTTGTCCCTGGCTCGCGTTGTCCCGTCTTGAGTACTGCTCAGTACTCACTTCCCTCTTCAGAGCAGGAGAGATTACTGAAATAGAGGGAATTCAGAGGACATATACGGCACGCATAGACGAGATAAAGCACCTGAATTATTGGGATCGTCTCAAAGCTCTCCAAATGTACTCACTAGAAAGGAGACGAGAGAGATATCAAATAATATACACATGGAAAATACTGGAGGGACAAGTCCCAAATCTACACAGTAAAATAACAACGTACTGGAGTGAACGATATGGAAGAAAATGCAGAATAGAACCAGCGAAGAGCAGAGGTGCCATAGGCACAATCAGAGAACACTGTATAAACATCAGAGGTCCCCGGTTGTTCAACGTCCTCCCAGCGAGCATAAGAAATATTGCCGGAACAACCGTGGACATCTTCAAGAGGAAACTAGATTGTTTTCTTCAAGGAGTGTCGGACCAACCGGGCTGTGGTGTATATGTGGGCCTGCAGGCCGCTTCAAGCAACAGCCTGGTGGACCAAACTCTCACAAATCAAACCTGGCCTCGGGCCGGGCTTGGGGAGTAGAACAACTCCCAGAACCCCATCAAGCAGGTATCAAGCAGTAGCACCAACAGTAGCGACAGTAGCACCAACAGTAGCGACAGTAGCACCAACAGTAACGACAGTAGCACCAACAGTAGCGCCAGTGGCACCAACAGTAGCGCCAGTGGCACCGACAGTAGCGCCAGTGACACTAACAGTAGCGGCAGTGGCACTAACAGTAGCGGCAGTGGCACTAACAGTAGCGGCAGTGGCACTAACAGTAGCGGCAGTGGCACTAACAGTAGCGCCAATGGCACCACCAACAATCACGATGGAATCAACGAGACAGAAACAATGAGGAGGGGCAACAATCATCTGGACAATAGACACCCGGGACTATTGTGACAGTAGCCGCAACACCGGAAGTAGCAGCAACACCAGAAGTAGCGGCAGTAGCAGCAACACCAGAAGTGAGCCAAGCTAATAAAAGTTCCGTGGTCAAGCGGTGAACGACTTTCGATTCTCAGCCATAGTTCCCGAATTTGAATCCCGGGCGGATCAGACACCTCATGCCCCTTGTTTGCCTACTAGTCAATAGGCACCTGGGAACAGGTATCAAGCAGGTAAACAGTTTCTGGGAGCTACATCCTGCGGTGGCCCGTAGTAATTAGATACATACACGCGCGCCCACTCGTGCACATACATATACACAGACAACGCTGCACGCAAGATACACACACTAATGCGACCCGAGACAAAAAAAAAACTGGGAGGATTGACTGGGAACCAATCCATAACTGTTCGTCCGCCCCTGTTCACCCTGCAGTAATTGGGAACCTCGAAGTAAAACTGATTGACGGGTCACGTTCTAAGGAAAAACAGGTAGGGTAAAGCTTGCTATGATGTATGGGAAGGGAAAGCTCTCTGACAGGAGTCAGAGGCCGTCTACTCCTGTACCCAGCTGTGTAACAACAAAATGTTTAAAATAAAAAAGAAAGAGGAAATAGTGAACAAGCAGACTGTGTTCCCTGATGTGTGCATGGAAGGATAGTTTTTGTGCACTCTTTGCATTCTTACTCTCTTTTTGGATGTATTTTGCATACATGGCCGTGCCTGCCGCTCTCTTAGTGGCAGCAGCAGTGGTAGTTAAAGGAATTGCGTCAACATCATTGTTATGGAACTGAAAAAACAATCGTAATGCGTTCCTACTTTCACCGTGTGGTGGCGGGTGCTGTGGTGGCGGGTGCTGTGGTGGTGGGGGGTTTGTTGCTGCTTTTCCTGTGGGGTGTGTGGCGGGGGCTGGTTGGTTTGGTGGTAGTGGTGGTGGGTGGCAGCTCAGAATATTGGCACGATTCCCTTGGGACTTGACGTGCCCTGCCCTCCCTCGTCGCCCCGTCGTCTCCTGCTACTGCTGCCACCCACCCTCGTCGTGCTGCTGCCCTCCTTTTCCCCCTGCAACTGTCACCCTCTCTTTTCCCCCACTGTTGTCTCCCACCCCTACCCTACTACTACTAACTAGGTGGGTAGGTAGGTACCCTCCTGCCTCCTGAGTGGCCAGCGTGACCAACAACGCTGCCTCTCTTAATTAATAAAGAGTAAGAGACGATGTGTAATGATGACTCGCAGGTGGCCACTAAGCTCATCAACTCGGCCAGGTGGATTACACCTGTCACCAATCCCACACTTTACTGGCAACGTTATTACATTTTTTAGAATTGCAAATTAATTTACTTATGCTTTTCACTTATATTTAAAAACTGGGGTATTCAGATTCTCAATATTTCGAGAGTATGGAGATTTTGATTGTATGTTAGGAAGAGTGGACAGGATAACGTGGCTTGGTTGGTGTTCACCTCACGACCTGATGTGTGTCGGTGGGAGAGTGCAGTCGAACTCGCGAGACCGGGTACAGGTAAACATACAGGCATTGAGTAGCTGGAGTGTGTGTTGTGTGGGCTGGTCCCAGAGCGCGCGGGCTGTGATCATCCAGCACCTGTTGCCGCTTCACCCCCTACACCCTGCCGTGGGTGTGGGGGTGGCGACGGGGGGTGTGGGGGAGGCCGGAGCCACAACATGGTCACCCAGGAGCTGAAGCACCACCCCCAAATGTGAGTGCACGGGACGTGACTGTGATATCTCGGATCACACATCATGTGCTGTAGAGCTTTTGAGAGCTCCTCTCTGTTCTGCTCTACACCTCGGAACTATGTTTGAATTTTTATTTTCATTTTCGAGTAGTGTTCGACATGGCGTGGCTGTCACCCCCTCTCGGCCGAGTATAGTGGGCCAAGCCCTGGAGGTGTGGAGTGGGCCAAGCCCTGGAGGTGTGGAGTGGGCCAAGCCCTGGAGGTGTGGAGTGGGCCAAGCCCTGGAGGTGTGGAGTGGGCCAAGCCCTGGAGGTGTGGAGTGGGCCAAGCCCTGGAGGTGTGGAGTGGGCCAAGCCCTGGAGGTGTGGAGTGGGCCAAGCCCTGGAGGTGTGGAGTGGGCCAAGCCCTGGAGGTGTGGACTGGGGGAGGTGTGGAGTGGGCCAAGCCCTGGAGGTGTGGAGTGGGCCAAGCCCTGGAGGTGTGGAGTGTGTGGAGTAGGGGAGGTGTGGAGTGTGTGGAGTAGGGGTGGTGTGGACCATTCAGGCGTGGAGGAGTGTGGAATACGTGGAGCACACTGGGAGAGCAGTGAGGGTGGAGTAGAGCAGCAATATGAGACGACGATGAAGAATGTTGAGACACGTCAGATAAGACATGAGAACTGTGTCATGAGTGAGGAGGAGTGTCAGATTATCTCAGTGTGAGGGTCTAGTCTGCTCTTCTAGTGTGAGGAGTGGCGCACGGACCCCGCCATGAGCAGTGGTATCTTGGGATTATGCAGGTTACCAACCGGAAGAGTTTGATCAGTCTATCACCTGTTATATCACCTGTTAGTCTTTATAATTAGTTTAATTGACAAGTTTGGACGATTGAGTTACGGAGAAGTTCAGTAATATCGTCAGTTGCGTTTGAGGGTGAAATTGACTTGTTGCTTTATGAGGTGATTGTGAGCGGCTGGCAGGAGGTGATTTGGGACAGTGTGTGTATTCACCTAGTTGTGCTTGCGGGGGTTGAGCTCTGCTCTTTCGGCCCGCCTCTCAACTGTCAATCAATCAACTATTGCTAACTACTAACTATTTTTACACACACACACACACACACACACACACACACACACACACACACACACACACACACACACACATACATACATACATACATACATATTAGGGGCCTCGTAGCCTGGTGGATATCGCGCAGGACTCGTAATTCTGTGGCGCGGGTTCGATTCCCGCACGAGGCAGAAACAAATGGGCAAAGTTTCTTTCACCCTAAGTGCCCCTGTTACCTAGCAGTAAATAGGTACCTGGGAGTTAGTCAGCTGTCACGGGCTGCTTCCTGGGGTGTGTGTGTGTGGTGTGGGAAAAAAAAAAGTAGTTAGTAAACAGTTGATTGACAGTTGAGAGGCGGGCCGAAAGAGCAAAGCTCAACCCCCGCAAAAACACAACTAGTAAACACACACACACACACAGAGTGAGAGAGTGAGAGTGAGAGAGTGAGTGAGTGAGTGTGAGAGAGTGAGTGTGAGTGTGAGTGTGAGTGTGTGAGTGAGTGAGTGAGTGAGTATAAGAGTGAGAGGCGTGGAATGATGGCGTGGGTGTACACGGACACAGTACACACTGTGAGGGAGGCGTGGGTGGGCGTGGCTGCCATCACGGATGAAGGTTGACGGGCGGTGCCGGGTGATGGAGGCACGGGCCGGGTGATGGAGGCACGGGCCGGGTGATGGAGGCACGGGCCGGGTGATGGAGGCACGGGCCGGGTGATGGAGGCATCTTTCCTCCCCCTAAGGTAATTGTCCTCGTCACCTGTCTCACCATAGGCCTGGTTAGTGCAGATGTACTCACCTAGTTGTACTGACCTAGATGTGCTTGTGGGTGATGACATCTGGCTCTTTGGTCCCGCCTCTCAACTGTCAATCAACTGGTGATGTGATGGTGCTCCTAGCTGGGTAGCGGCACTGGCTGCGTGTGGCCCTGGCTGCGTGTGGCCCTGGCTGCGTGTGGCCCTGGCGTACGGTACTGGTCGGGTGGTGGTGGGGATGTGGTGGTCGTTGAGGGCAGGGTCGTAGGTGTGGTGGTGGTGCTGATGGAAGCGTGTTGTGGGGGTGCTGTCAAGTTCTTGTGTTGTGGTTGTAACCTTAGATCAGTCGCCAGCATGTTGTACTGTTGTTGACTACTTCGTATGTGGCTTGTCTTAGTGGCTGTCATTGCTGGGTTTAAGACATGTGTAATGAAGAGAAGGTGTTAACTCAGGGAAAGAGAGGGAGATGGCCACCAGCACAGGTAGGGAGGTGGCCACCAGCACAGGTAGGGAGGTGGCCACCAGCACAGGTAGGGAGGTGGCCACCAGCACAGGTAGGGAGGTGGCCACCAGCACAGGTAGGCAGGTGGCCACCAGCACAGGTAGGCAGGTGGCCACCAGCACAGGTAGGCAGGTGGCCACCAGCACAGGTAGGCAGGTGGCCACCAGCACAGGTAGGGAGGTGGCCACCAGCACAGGTAGGGAGGTGGCCACCAGCACAGGTAGGGAGGTGGCCACCAGCACAGGTAGGGAGGTGGCCACCAGCACAGGTAGGGAGATGGCCACCAGCACAGGTAGGGAGGTGGCCACCAGCACAGGTAGGGAGGTGGCCACCAGCACAGGTATGGAGGTGGCCACCAGCACAGGTAGGGAGGTGGCCACCAGCACAGGTAGGCAGGTGGCCACCAGCACAGGTAGGCAGGTGGCCACCAGCACAGGTAGGGAGGTGGCCACCAGCACAGGTATGGAGGTGGCCACCAGCACAGGTAGGGAGGTGGCCACCAGCACAGGTAGGCAGGTGGCCACCAGCACAGGTAGGCAGGTGGCCACCAGCACAGGTAGGGAGGTGGCCACCAGCACAGGTAGGCAGGTGGCCACCAGCACAGGTAGGGAGGTGGCCACCAGCACAGGTAGGGAGATGGCCACCAGCACAGGTAGGGAGGTGGCCACCAGCACAGGTAGGGAGGTGGCCACCAGCACAGGTATGGAGGTGGCCACCAGCACAGGTAGGGAGGTGGCCACCAGCACAGGTAGGCAGGTGGCCACCAGCACAGGTAGGGAGGTGGCCACCAGCACAGGTAGGGAGGTGGCCACCAGCACAGGTAGGGAGGTGGCCACCAGCACAGGTAGGCAGGTGGCCACCAGCACAGGTAGGCAGGTGGCCACCAGCACAGGTAGGCAGGTGGCCACCAGCACAGGTGGCCACCAGCACAGGTAGGGAGGTGGCCACCAGCACAGGTAGGGAGGTGGCCACCAGCACAGGTAGGCAGGTGGCCACCAGCACAGGTAGGGAGGTGG